TGACAGCAAAATATAATTGTTTCCTACGTCCCTGCAGGATGTCTCAATCAGAATATACAAATAAAAGAAACACTTCTGATGCTTCACTTGCAAAGAAAGAACAATGCTCCACATTCAGTATCTGCAGCTTTGAGAGGCACACTGACCTGAAGCCAGCTGGAAAAGCAGCAGCAGTGGTCTGACCCCCAGCAGCTCCCAAAACACAAACAGGCAAGCAGCACTCACGCAGCAACGTGCCCAGAGACCAGCTAGACACAAACACAAATCCATGACCACTGACCCCACAGGTACGCTTGGGTAGGGCAAGGCTGGGTGCCCACAGTTCAGCTGCGTGCCTCGGCTAGCAGGATGCATCAGCTCTCCTGATACATGCTTAAATTCCTCACGTGTGACTACAGGACTAATGCTGCTTCCACTGAAAGCAAGAGCTTTGGAAATGGAAAGTCAGGCTGCATCTGGCAGTCCAGGGAATCACAGAATCAGGGAATCCCAGGTTGGAAGGGACCTCAAGGATCATCTGGTCCAACCTGTCCCGCAAAAGCACAGTCCAGAATAGATGTCCCAGCGCCCTGATGAGCTGAATAGTAACAATTTCCAGTGCTGGGGAATCTACCACTTCCATGGGGAGATTATTCCAGTGGCTGGTTGTTCTCAGGTCTGAATGCCATTGTTGGCACAACAGAGACATCTATTTTGCAGTTCTCCCTAAAACTCTTCTTAATTTTACAGCATTTTAGTCTTCCTCTATCTCAGCCTGCCTTATCTCCATTCACACTATCTTCCTCCATAATCTTACTATCTCAGAACTTCTACTACCAAAGAAACAACTGAGCACAGTCCCCAGGGGCTGGAATTCATGCTGATTCACACTTGCAGGCCCAGAGGCTTTTCTCTCCACACCCCACTCTCTCAAGGTTTATTTTTATTCCTCAAGTTATCCTAGTCTGAGGGCTCAGAGCTGATTGCTTTCTGTTGCAGAGAGAATTGGGATGAAGTAGACAAAGCAGAATCGAGCCTGAGGTAATTTAAGAAGATGTGAAAGAACACTTCACCTGATACCAAAAAATACAACGTAATTGCAAACAGCTTGTGCTTCCGAGGCACCATTCATAGCACCCTCCCACCTGCAGGACATGTTATGGTGGCAGAAGGAGTGATGAAGGGTTGGTGTGCTCAGGGAAGACCTCACTGCAGGTCTGCTTCATGGAGCTCATTTCCAGATTGTCCTCAGTTCAGAAATTCATGAGACTAAGTATTAGCAATCATGCAGTAGATGGGCTGTTTGAAACCTCAAATGCATCCTTACAAGTTAAGAGAGCCTCCTAGTACCTCCTACCTGATCAGGATTCACATGCCATAAATGCCATTCTCTCATCCACTGCTCTCAGCTTGCAAATTGGTGAGAGCAGCTGGAGAGCAATTATCCTTATCTCTAAAAACAACCAGGATAAACTCATACACAACTGGGGACTGGTTTAAGTGGAAAAGTACCTCCATTCTGAAACACAAAGGTTCCAAGCTAGACAAATTCCTACCCAGCCTGCCAAACCCAGAGTACAAATTAAACCCCATTCACAACAAGGCTCTTTGCAACCTGAGTTACATTGATCCAGGAAACAGTACTCCACTGGCAGAGCATGGGGAAATGGGGAAAAAAAGTGGGAAAATCATAACAAAAGTTGACAGTAAGATCTTTAAATACGTTTTATCCAACCGTCCTCTGTTCAGGGCATTTTTAGGATGAGGAAATATGGAAACTTAAACTCCCTGTGTTTGCTGCTCTTGCAGTATGTGACAGGGTATAACATCAATGTTTGGAAAGAGACTGTATAATGAGAACATTCTCCATCAATCTCAACCCTTCCCTTGGTGAAAGTACTAAATTTATACTTTCTCAGCAGAGCAAGTACCTCTACTTTACACTTACAGCTCCTTTAGGAATGGAGCAATTAGCATTTGCCACAGAAACTGCAATAGATCTATATGTTTCTGAAGAAAGTTGCTCTTCAACCTGGGTAGGGCATGATCTACGACAACTGCACTTACACATGGGGTAACAGCCCAATGCTTCCTCTGCAGGGGAGTGCTATGGGCTGGCACTGAGCAGTGTGCTGGAAACCCCCAGCAGCCACAGCCACACCTGTCAGAGGCAGGAAAGCATCCACTGGGATCACCCAGCCCTGCAGAGCTGGTGCTGTGTGTTCCACCTTGCAAACAGAAACCAGCTCCCCAAAGTCACCCCCTTACCAGTGGGTTTGCAACAGAGCCCATTTCTGTGATGGCAGCAGCTCCCTGGGGCTGTGAGTGCTGCTGCTGCCCCAGATCACCACCAGAGAGGGCCAGGTCCCACACAGCACCCAGAGAATCACCACGAGGGTGTTAAGGCGCTGGCACAGGGTGCCCAGAGAAGCTGTGGCTGTCCCATCCCTGGCAGTGTTCAAGGCCAGGCTGGACACAGGGTCTTGGAGCAAGCTGCTCCAGTGGAAGGGGTCCCTGCCCGTGGCAGGGGGTTGGAGCTGTATAAGCTTTAAGGTCCCTTTCAGCCCAAACCAGTATGGGATTCCATAAAAACAGATGGTTCCAGAAAAGCTCAGAGCAGCTAAATAAGGAGAGGGAAAAAAATGCCCCCAAACACATGGCACCTCACTGGAGTCCATGAGTGAAGATGCTAAATGGATCATCTGAGCTGGCTGATGCAAAATACAGTGCAGTGTAACATCTGGTTGCATATGCTTGTGTCTAACAACAGCAGTTTTTCAGATGCAGTTATTGCTGTCCCTGGGTTGTCCTCATCAGGACACAGACTCTCCCAGGGACCAGACCAGGGCTCAGTGGGAAGGGAACCAGCATGGGTCATACTGAAACACAGGGGAAAGCACAGTGCAAAAGGAGAATCAAAACTCAGTTAACCTTTCCTAAGCACCAAAGTCCTCCGCATTGTTTCCACCATTAGATTATATATGAGCCATTAGAGATTTGGGAGATGAAAACTCAGCTACATATAAAACCAAAGTGAGATATATAAAATATAAGTAATGAAGCCAAGTTTTTAACCAAAGGCATCAGGGATCCAGCCACAGTTGAGTTCTTCTGCCAGGACACAGCTAATAAGAAGAACAAATGCAATAGCCATCTAGCTTGGGCTGAATTTTTAGTGAATTCCTGTGAAGCCTTCTATACTTTTCATAGAATCCTAGAATCCCAGACTGGTTTGGGCTGAAGGAACCTTAAAGCTCATCCAGTTCCAGCTCCCTGCCACAGGCAGGGACACCTTCCACTAGAGCAGTTTGCTCCAAGCCCCTGTGTCCAACCTGGGCTCAGACAGTTTTCTTAATTCTGGAGAATTATTACAAAATCCCACCAAACTGGAACTATCGTACTGCCACTAACGTGTATCTGAGTGACTCTGGAACAAATGTCAGAGAAGAGATTTGTGCTTAAGCTTCACAGTAGTACTGCAGATTAACTCAGTGTACCACACAGGCTGATGCTTTTTGCCACTTGCATTTGCACTGGGCAGATGAAGGTGTTATGGACAGATCCTCTTATTCATGTTACATGAACAGGAATGCTGCAATCAGTTCACTACTCCCCCAGGATAATCAGCCATTCACCCGTTTGATTCACCTTTCATATAACAAAAAGGAGCTAGAAATAAAATACAACAGGCATCCATGAAGAGAAGATAGTACAGAGGTAAGGCTTGGAGCACAGGAACTATCTATTAAATCACTTTTGAAAGACTATACTTCCTAATGGCATCCCACTGGATGGTGTGTGTGAGGTTCTTCAAGCAAGATCGGTTTGTAGAGCCTCGTCTTGGTGAAATCCAGAGGTCAAGTCACCTCACTAACTGAGGTAAATGTTTACAACAAAAACAGAAGTGGAAGTGACAGAAAAAAGCCACCACCTCCAATCACAGACCTGGCACATCTTTTGTGTGGTAAACAGTCATGAGGTGCTGTTTGTGTTGGACCTAGAGTCCCAGCTGCAAATCTGCTCTCCTCCTATCTCCCCTAAGCTTCTTGAGTAGATGGAGTAGGCAGCTCAAGATGTTGAAGGGCAACCTCGATAACCTGGGAAGAAGTGTCACTGTCTAGGGAGTAATCAGTATTCTCTACTCAGACTGCAAGCACTATACATCTGAGTCTCAGGGGACCATTTTGTGTCACATCTTGAAAGAGAAGATATTACTCTTGATTTGACGAAAAATGAATTGGAAATATGAGCTGCATATGTGCTAATTTCTAGCTATGAAGTTTGCATTCATTACAGTAATGAGCATTGCATAAAGCATATAATCAACACCTACTGCAGATGTCAAGAGGAATCCAGAGGCACAGAGGAAATACGTACACTTGCCACAGTTGATCATAAACATCATAAACTTCCAGCCCCCAAAAAACATAAGGCAAGAGGCAGTCCTTTTTCTCCCTACTAGTCCTCAGGGGTATTTGAGTGTATCTATCAAGTTCTTGTACTAACCAGCTTAGACAACCTTTCAACCATGGGATAAATATTACAAGAAATCCTATCAATATTTCTGTAGTGGAAGCACAACGTACCACTTCCTCCCCAGCAAAAGGCAACAGCAAAAGGCAAAAGCTACAAATGTCATTACATTTAGCTGTAATTGGAGGATCCAAGCAGATAACTGATTAAATCCTGGTGTGTAGAGTTATGATCTTTCTCCAACATCAGATTAGAAATTAAAAGCAAGTAATGGAAAGAAAAGGTTGGAGTTCAACAAATCATCATCTGAAATAAAGTCCAAATACCAGAAAACACAATCCATGGTCTGTGAAATCAAAGCAAGGCAGGCAATAGTGAAACAGGATCTATTATGTCAAATGAAATACAAACCATCTTCTGACAGAGATCAAAAAAGGTAACTGGTTTCATGCCTGTGAGGAGCAATAAGGAGAAAAGAACGGTGGGTATGCACCAACATTATTATGAGTAAATGTTCTCTAGGCATCTACAATGGAAGCAGTTCTTACCTTCTGGCAACCTGGGGTTAGCGTGAATAGAGTTGGGGTCCCCATGCTCCTCAGGATGGTAACGATAAAGCGTCTGTGACTGCTTTTGGGATGACTGACTACGGTCTTCCTTTAGAGCAACAGGAGGAGAGGTTGTGGCACTGAACTTTACCTTGGGGAAATCATTTCCCTCCTGTGTTTCATGGGAAGATTTTGATGCACTCGGCTCTGTCAAATTCACCTCTTTCAAGCCTAGATACAGGCTGTTCCCTAGGTCGTCTTTTCTGGCATGCTTTTTCATTTTAGAGTGTGGGGCTCTTTCCTGATCTTGCTTCTCTTTGTCTCCTTGTTTTCCCTTTGGTTTCCTCTCCAATTCCTCCATGTGCTTGGGTGTCTCAGTGGTGGCTCTTGTGTGCCCTGGAGGAGCACTGGTGGTTACTGGTGTTCCCTTATGTGTCAGTTGCTGGAGCGATGCTGCAGTGGTGCGGGGCACCCTTTTTCGCTCACTTCTCTCTGTGGCACTTCGAACTTCAGAGGGGGCCCTGGGCACTGGTGTGGTGAGCAGCGCAGCCAGTTCCTCGGAGTCTGGCTCACCCGGAGCCAAAGCTGAAGGAGCAATGCTAGCTGGTAGGTAGTCATAATCCTCACTCTGCTCCTGGCTGATGCTCTCTTGCTCTAGGTGGGACGAGTAACTCCTGTATTTTTTTGGAGACTCCACCTGGGTGTTGTCTCCTTCTGGTGCCTCCTGGTCATAGCTGTATGGATCGTCATAGTGCCTCTCGGGCTCGCTGTCTTCAGCATCTATTGGACTTGCAGTGTTCAGGGCAAATGTGTTACAGTCTGGAAGCTGGTAGCACATCAGCTCACCACCAGCGTTCGGGCAATGGCAAACCTTGCAGGGGGGCATGTGGAAGGTGTGCCCCGCTACATACTTCTGACCCTCGTGGAGGCAGCCTATTCTCCCACATTGAGGACACCCATCTGCTGGCACCACCGCATCGATGCAGTTGGGGGGCAGCTCTGGGCACAGCATGAACTGGCAGCTGATCTTGCCTCCTCCCTTGGGGCATGAGCACTCAGTACTTCCAAAGTCCACAAAGTAAGACTGCCCCTCAGGTACCTTGCCGTTGATGAAGCCCACGTTGACACAGTCGTAGTACTGGTAGCCTTCACATGTGCAGCCATGCTGCAGGCATGTGGCACAGCACTCGCCGGGCTCCAGCACATCCTCGATGCAGTTGTCCAGGGGCTGGCACTCCGCACCCGTGCAGTCTCTCTGGGCATGGGAAATGCTGCTCCATAGCAGCACAAGAAGGAAGGCATTCAAACAGTTCTGCTGCCAGCTTTGATACCTATCCATAGTCTTCAGAAACAAACACAGCTCCAATCCAAACTTGCACATTTAATGTTTTCGGTTTTTTTTTTTCCTAGAAGGCTGTAGATTTAGCTCCGAATCTGCAGTGTTTTCCTGAATTACCTTGTCTCATAGATCCTAGAGTTATGAAAGAAAACTCTGTTAAAGACCATACTCAGCACATATCCTGTTAAACATTAGAGGTCTTTAAAAGTTGGGACAAAATCCAACATCTGGAAACCTAAGTACAAAATTAATCATAATGTCTTCCAAGCATCGTAGGCACTAAGTTTGGAGTTGCGTGCTTCCCCCTCGCTCCCATTTTGAAACAGAAAAAGAAAAAGAAAAAAAGTTTTGACTGCTCTCTTTTGAATCTGTTCACAAAATGTAGATATTTTCAATGAAAAGAATGCTTTTATACTTCAATGCCTTTTTGTTAATCTTTCTAGCTAAAGAGAGAGATTTTTTTGGCAGATAAGAAGTAAACACACAGTTGTTCCTCTGCAGATGTAAGTTTAAGATAATTACTCTTTTTGGTTTAATTACAAAGACCCAAATCATAAAGATCTTTCTCAGACAAAACTTAGCCTTGAGACGTGAGAATTTGTCTGTACACATGTTAACTCAAAAGAGGAGGAGGCTTTTTCCTGCCTCCTTCCCCTACTTTGCAAGCTTTTGTTCTTCAGGCTTCAGCATTAACAGCTATTTTTTTTTGCTCTAGCAGTGCTAAAATAGAACTTCTTTGTATACTGCGGTTACTGTGTGGTTAAACATCATATTAGCTATCCTGTAATACAGATTAGAGGCCGGATCCTCAGCTCACAGAAGCTGGCACAGCTCCACAGCAGGCCTGTAGCTACAGAGGTATCAACTTTGACTTCACTAGAGTTTCAACTGTACATGCAGTGGATGTTCACACCAGCTGAGGATATGCCACCATTGGCAAGTACCTCTTATTTTTGACATCAGTAACACCTTATAGTGAATGATTATACTATGAATAGAATCGATATACATATATACACTAATACATAAATGAACTGGTATAATAACACTTTGTTAAAATGTGCTGAGGAAAAGGAAGTGGTTTGTTTTTAATTACTAAACCCTTTGACCACAGAAAACTTTAAGAGTTAAAGTAAATCAGCTGGTGTCCTTTGTATCAAATGCACGCTCAAAAAGCTACACAATTAACAAGGAAAAGTAGTTAAAACCAAAAAGATTTCCTATACAATTTTATGGGATTAGCAGCCTAATTCTTTTTCCAGAACCATTCCCATCAACAAAAAAATAATGACCCACAACCATTAATCTAGGGGGTAAAACGTAGTCACATCAGCACGAACAATGAGCCACACACACAACAGGAACCCTGCCAGAAAATCCATTCAGAAAGATTACTTCTCCCATTGAAATTGGGCTTCCAGCAAGTGTGTGGGGCGCTGCTGGCAGGGGAAGCTGTGCTGATAAGATACGGACACGCTGTGCTGAGAGTTTCCATAGCTCTGACCCACAATCTGAATGACTCCAGCATGGTGCACAGAGAGACACTTCTTACAAATGCAGGTTTTCCACTACTAACGTGAGTGTAGTGGCGTCAGTGTGCTAAAGGATACTGGTTGAAGGAAAAATGGCAGAATTATGGCTTAGAAGAATCATAGAATTAACCAGGTTGGAAAAGACCTTTAAGCTTATCAAGTCCAACCTCTCCCCAGCACTGCCAAGGCCACTAGTAACCCATGTCACTGAGGGTCTCATCTACATGGTGTGTGAACACTTCCAGGAACAGTGACTCCAGCACTGCCCTAAGCAGTCTGTTCCAATGCCTGAGCACCTTTTGGGGAAGGAATTATTCCTCATCTCCATCTAAACCTTCCCTCCTTGAGGCTGTTCCCACTTGTCTCATCCTTTGTTTTTTGGGAGCAGAGACCAGCCCCCTCCTGGCTTCATCTTCCTGGTCAAGCAGTTGTTGGGAGTGATAAGGTTGCCCCTGAGCCTTCTCTTCACTGTTTCAGAACTGCTCTCAAACCCAGAATATTTTGTATGGAGGAGAATTTTCAGTATGTGGTGCTGCAATTAATTCTTCAGAATCTAGGTTGGGAATTAATAATTTCTCCTACTTTCAGCAGCTTTTCCAGGTAATCCAGATTTGTAATTATTACATAGCTTTAGCTGGAAAATAATGAATGGAAGGACAACTAAATATAAACTTCTTCCGTAAGGGTCCCACAGCAGGATGTTGCCATCATCCCCTCCCATTGGTACCTCCTGGCTCCAACACTCCAGCGCACACAAGTCCCTTGGCCAGACTCTGTGCTGGTGCCAGCTGAGCACAGCTGATAATCAGTACTCATAGGCCACATCAAGGGCAAGCTTGTGCTCATCACCCACTTCATATCCAACCAGCAATTGCTCACTACTGCTGGTAGTGAGGCAACTACTGCTACCCTGGTGCTGTGCAGCCTGCAAGGTAAATGTGACAATGGAAGTAGGACACCCCCGTGAAACAGTGTTTACCCTCCAGCTTGTACCTTCAGGTTTCTCAAAACAAGCACTCACTTCTCAGGCATAAGCTTGAACTCCCAACAAGAAACCCCCAAATCACCTCATATGCTGAAGCAAGAAGCAGAAAGCCAGTTATGCCTATATCTAACATGCCTGGAAGTTCAAGCATGGCTGAGGGTTTATCATGGCACAGCCCTGTTCTTGTGAAATAAGCTGCTCAACTGCCCTCCCCTGTACAGTTGCCTCCTCCTCTCCCCATCTGCATCCTTCTTCTGCCCAACGTCTCACTTGCTTGCTCAGGTCACCTCCATTTTTCCCCTCTGGTTCCTCTCCTTGCTCCCTTGCCTCTTGCCCACAGAGAGGCTGGAGAGCTGGTGGCCCCTCTCTGCAGCAAGCCCTGTCCCTGCTCCCCACCTCTCAACCATTCTGCTCAATGCCTCATTCAGTCCCTCTGTACCCTTTCTCTTTTAATCATTTCCACATCCCTCAACGTTTGGTTTCTCAAGCTACTAACCTCAAACCGATAAGGCTGAAATCCTTTTTCTGTCAATAGCATCACAGTCTTTCCTATCCTCAGGCTCACTTTCCTTCATTAGAGGCTCCTTGCTTCTAGTGCAATGATCCCAACAAGAGTATCTCTTTTAATTCCTCTCAAGCACTGCATTTTCCCTGTGCTTTCTCCATCTGTTCCCCACACCCATCACTCCTCCACCCCATAAACTTACATATCAAAGAAACAGTCTCTACTTCAGGCACTGAGAAAACAGCTTTGAGTGAAGCACAGGCACGGCTGTTGAGCCCCACTGTGAAAGCACATCCCTCCAAACTGAGTGTGTGTGCTCGTGCCAGCCATGCAGCTGACATGCCATTGCCTCTGGATCTATCCCTTCCCAGTGCTCAAATGATGCTCTGGAGGCAGCAGCTAATTACTTGCTAATGGCATGGAAAGCTGGAGCTGTGAAATAGAAGTGTCTGCACCAAGAGGGTAAAAAACCCACTATCTCTGGAGAATAGGGGAGTCTAACACCAACAGATATTATTGCAATCCTTTGTTTCCATTAAACATTTTAACGCTTTCCTTAATGTCCTTTTACACAACCAGGACAACAGATTCACCTAAATGAGAATCGAGTCTTCTTACTCTCAGCTCTGTCCTTCACCCACAGTTAACAATGTCATGGACTTTCACTGCTCAGTTGAGATATCACTACAAATTAAGCCCTGCACATCTGAAATAAAGGTCTTCCGAAGTCTCTGTTGAAAGCTTTACAGAGCTCTACAGCAAGATAACCCAAGTGTCACCCCAGTCCTGATGCCCATGAAGTCCTTCATGAACCAGGCGGCTTCAATTTACGTCCTTTGTGGAGCTCCCTAACCCACTGTGCTGCAATGTCTTGTTCTCCTATGGTTCGAGGATTAACCCCTTTGGCATTAGCAGGGCTGTACTGGGCCGCTATCAGTTTAGCTGTTGCCAGTCCTGTGCACAGTATGTGTACTGAGCAAGCATGAGTGCCCATGCACAGGAGGACCAGTGCTCTGAACTGGGACTAAGTCCCTCAAGGTCAACAGAAGTAAAACTGTGAGGTAAACCAGCAGTAAACAGAGGATGGTCAGAACACCAAGGAGTTGCTTCTTCCTCAATTCCTTCATTAACAATGATTCCTAGGACAGGCAGAGCACAGACACCTCATGGAAAACCAGCTTGAAGAAATAAGAGTCCATATGAACATGAAATATAGGCATACATATTCATAGAAAAGGAAATGAGAATGTTTCACACTGCAGATGAAACCATTATCTGTGTGACAGAACATTGAGGGCTAACAGCAACCAGCAAAATTGTAACTAACATTGGCTGAAAACCATCATATTCCTGTCTCCTGGCAGGGAAACAGAACAGAATTTCAAAATGCTTACTTCAATTCAATTTAGGGCCAGAAAGTTATAAATTCTGATGTTTTTGCAAAACAATATACTCAGAGTGATTTACTTCAATCAAAGCCATAACAAAGTCAGAAGGAAGAATGTTGACTTGATTAAACCAGTTCAGCAGCATTGCTTGAAAATGTTGATGAAACCAGCATGCTCCCACAGAAGATCTAGACATTTTAAATGTGCAACTTCTTTAAATTAAGAGGAGTATTTTATTAGGAGATTCTTTTTCCAGATGGTTTCATTTCAGTGCTGAACCAAAAAGCTTATTTTAGGTAAGCAGAGGTGACAGGAGGCACTTTCCTTCAAAGACTTCACACAAACACCATCTTTCTGTGTGAAGGTTGCTTCAGAGACAGCAGAACAACAGCAGAACGTGTGCACGTGTGGAAGAGATGCTGCAGGATCAAAAGCATTCTTTCAAATGTTCACTGCATAAAGCAAGGCAGCCATTTATAAGCAAAAAGCAATAAATAGAATAATTCAGCCTGTTGCAGGGGACACCACCTGCATGAGCACCCACTGACCTCCAGCTGTGCAGATGTACCTGCCATTTAACCAGCTGCAGACCCCTGCAAACAGGTTTAGACAGAACGGTTATTCTCCCACTTCTCAATTCCTCACTAAATTGCCCTTTTTAAGGATGCTAAAATAGAAATGCTGGTTTGATACACATCATCTCCTGTTGAACCATGTGCAGG